AGGAAGCTCTCCGCACACTCACCGGACCTGGGCTAGGACTGGGTCTCGGCAACCGTTTTAGAGCTTGCAGTGACAGCTCAGGCAGCTGCAGCACAGGTGCCACAGGTTCAGCACCACTGTTGTGGGTCATCCCTAACTTATAGCCACATAACAGGAAGAATGAGTGTCATGGCAGCAGGTCCCAGCCCTATCTTGAACGAGGCTTATACTTAGAGGCAGAAGGCAGAGCACAGAGACTCTTACCTGCAAGCATCACAGCTACCTTCCTCCTGAAAAAGTGTTCATTTCATGGTATGCCTGGTGCCTATTCTCCCTTCAGGTTTAGTATGCCCTGGAAATTAGCGTGTATTAACTATATAATATTTTATCAATTATTTTATACATCTGTTGCATGTCCCTAAGAAATGAACTGATTTTCATTGTGTAATTATTATGTATATAATTTTAATAATAATTTTTAGTCCCTGACATTTAAAGAAAACTCAGCTTACTAAATTTTTTCAGAAGAAACTTACCACTAACTTTAGTTCTACTCACAAAAGACAGATAAACTGAATTCCAAAGAATAAAATGGGCTGAAAAAAGATCTATCTTTTGAAAAAGGTACCTGCTATTTGCTGAAAAATAATGAATTAAACAATTTTTAATCATCCTTAATTTTAGAGATAATATCCAGGTGTGGTGGCATATGCCTGTAATCCCAGCACTCAGGAGGCTGAAGCAGGAAGGATTGTTGCAAGTTTCAGACCAACCTGGGCTATGAGGTGAACTCAAGGCTAGCCTAAACTGCAGAGCAAGACACTTTCTCAAAAAGACAAAAAAAAGAAAAAAAATTAGAGATAAAGTAGTGGCTGTGGAAAATGACTTGAGTCATTAAATGAAATTTGGCAATGTAATTTATCTATAAAATTTTAAAATGCAGTGTTACGTAAAGTCTTATCAGAGGTTTCATGCAAGATAAATACTAACTTTTGAGAGACAAATCCTAAGGATATGGAGAACACAGCAGCACTAATGAGTAATTTCTTTTCTGATTTGCTTTGAATTCTATCTAGAAGATAGAACAGCAGGGACTTTAGAAACAAACAAACTTTGGGCCTGAAACTTATTCAAATCTATTTCCACAGCTTATATAATTGTTAGATGGCCTTAGGCAATCACTTAAATCTCTACAAACTTCTGTTTTCTCTTCCTTAAATTTTAAGACATTAATGTTCATCTTATAAGACTGTAGGATTAAGTTATATATACAAATACACATATGCAGTATGTGCCTAGTGCCTGCAGTTTGTTTTCCTCCTCTGTTAAATACCTCTTAAGGTTATTGTTACTCTAAAGCCCAACAGAAAATCCAAGAAGGAGAATTTGGTTTGTAGTTACCTTCCCATGCCTAGATTTAATTACCAGAAAATGCTCTTGAAGCCCAGGAAAGTTTTCCAGGGTGTATGTGATAGTAACTTTCATGGAGGATAATGGGCTAGTGGTGGTAGCAAACCTATGGCACATGTGCTGCAGCAGACTGTTTGTGTCACTGAAAGCTCTAAAACATTTGTCATCACAGGTGAGCTAATTCCCTGAGCTGCAAGATTTGCCCTTACTCTATTTATAAAACCAAATTGCAGATTAAAGTGCCCGCAAGCAGGCGCAGGGGCTGGGGGTTCGATCCCAGGGCCTCCCGTGCCGGCCCCACCCCCAGGGCACTCTGAGACAGCAATTGAGACTGGGCATGGTGGTGCATGCCTGTAATCCCAGCTCTTGGGAGGCTGTAAACAGATGAATCACTATGAGTCCGATCTAGTAGTGAGACCCTGAACACCCTGTAGACCCTTCCCTAAAATACTAAATAAATAAATAAAACCAAATAAAATGAATTATAAATTATTAAGAGTTTCATGTTTAGGTGTTAATGAATATTATTTTATATCCTAATTATAACTATTACAGTGTCTACTGTATGTGCAGTACAGTGTTAGATACTTGTCATATATTCTCTAATTCATAAAATAATCTTTTATTCCTAAGATGTTGCTAAAATGCCCATTTTGATAATGTGACTGAGACACTAAAGGATTTAATGGCAAGCCAAAGATTGCCGGTTAAAAATGAGTACAATGTTGATCTTTTAATCACCTCTGTGGTTAACTGTGGCACCCATAACTTTCTGAACTGTCATAACGCTGCCAGTCCCATGGTGATAGATATTTGTGTTTTCACAGAAACTTGCTCCTGGAGTCAACCAGTTTGCTTACACCTGCATACAGGACCACCCCATTTGGACAAATCAACAGTTTTGGGAGACAACTTTTTACAATGCCGTGCAGGAACAAGTCCGTTCCTTGTATCTTTCAACAAAGGAAGACAATCATGCCTCATATCTAAAGCAAAAGGTTAGAGAAAAGAAAAATACTTGTGTGAGCCTAGGATTCTTTTTACTGTAAAGAAAGCTTTTGCAGATATTCCCAGGACAAAGGGAAACTACCTCTTCCTACTGGTGTATTTGAGTTTAATTTCGTGAATACAAAGGTAAACATTTTTTCTATTGTTTTCTGAAATTTTTCCATAATAATTTTTTTATTTTTTTTTAATTTTATTTATTTATGTGTGTGTGGCCAGCTCAGCCCAACAGGGGGCGGGGCTGGCTGGCATGTGGTGCTGGGGGATTGAACCGCGGTCCCTGTGCTCTGCTAAACTTGCTCTAAGTAGGTGCCCTAGACCACTGAGCCATGCCACCAGCCCCTCCATAATAATTTTTTAATGTAGTTCATTACCAACAGAATTATTTTATTATACTTTAATAAGTTACAATTCCTGGGAAACAATTATAGAGAGCCAAACATAAAGAACAAACCTAAAAGGACAACTAGGCATAAGTATTATGCAACTTAGTTCCTTGAAGAAATATCAAAGTAAAGTTAATTGAGTCTAGGGCTGAGGATGGTGTATCTGAGTGCTCTAGAGCACTTGGCTAGCATGTGCAAGTATCTGAGTTAAAGAGAGAAGGTAATTAACTTTAAAATAAATTTAGCCACGGGCTGGTGAGATGGCTCAGTGGTCTAAAGCACCTACTTAGAACAAGCTAAACTAAGCAAAGCACAGGGACCACAGTTCAATCCCCCAGCACCACATGCCAGCCAGCCC